GCGTAATAAAACTTAAACCAGGATACTGTGACATTTGGTTTTGTCCCAAAATACTTATCAAACCTTTTCAATAAACACTTAATATCGTCTTCCTAACCCGCCGATCTAATGAGATTGACCAGTAAACTCGCCTGCACTGTACTTTCCTCTTTAGCCACTCCCGAGGCTTTAAGGAACACCTCAAATTGTTTCCGCCACTTCCGCCATGAGTCTGCTCGCGAAGCCCGACCGCCTTCGAGCACTAATTCTACGGGAGGTCGCAAGTGTTCCATTACTTACTTTTACGGAATGTACACAATTTACTTTAAAACCAAGTCCCTTATCTACAAAGTACCTTTATATAGACTGTCTAATTTATTTTCAACATCGCTGTCACCATGTAATAAAATAAACGATAGTTGGTTCAACACTACTTTTATTATTTTTTGAAGGTACAGTCTCGAAAGACATCACATCACAATATTAATCTACCCACAATATACTACAGTCTCTCTTATAATAGGAAATCAAAAAATCTATAAAAACCGCTTAAAAGCACATGTACCTGAGTTGAAACACTAACGCTCCGGGAAGTTTGCAGCACTAACGCTCCGGGAAGTTGCAGCTTGATCGTATAATGGATCATTTAAGAGCGCTGGTGTTTATACCCCGAGACGTTGATGCGTCAGCCCAGGCCCGGTAGCACTCCTGCTTATAGTATGATGTTATTTTTAGCAATTAGACCATGGCTGAGATCTGCCTTCGATGAGCACCACAGGGGAAGGAATAAAAGTTCCATATCCCGAAGTGATAGATATAAGATCAGTGATAGAATTAGTAATAATGTTGGGATCATCCGGCGGGAAGCAAACTCGCCCCCAAGAGTAAGATGCAAATGTAGAACGCATACTATCACAATCGGCTGACCTATAGTGCCAACCACGGTGGAAGCCTGCAGCTAGCAACCGCGATTTCAGCGTGAGTGGCACCACACTTCGGACAAGATAATGGTCTGACGAGCCTAGAGGGGCGTCCACGGAAACATGATATCTGATAAGTAACCAGCTGTGTAAGACCATTCGCCAAGGCAAAGTCATGAACAGATCTCCGCGCATGATCGGTTTAACGTGAACCGAGCCCTTCGGCATGGAGGGTCGTTAAAATCGCTAAGGGTCACGATATCTGCGGATGGTATCTGCTGTAGCAAGGAATTTTTTTTATTTTATTTTTATTTTATTGATAGAACCACCAACGGAATAATATGTTGTTTTGAGAAAAAAAATGTGACAATAGGCTTAGGAACTAAGATTTACATGTTTCCATTTAAAGGTAGTTACAGTATGTTTAAAAAAGACTCTACGATAACTTAATAATTGTTACAAGTACGAGTAAAATACTAATAATATAAAACAAAAAAAAAAAAAACAATTAGACAATACGAAATATATGAAAAATAAAAATATATAAAAATAACAACATTTATATCAAGTTTATATAAAGTTATGTTACAATTTTTACTATGAGTTATTAAGTAGATTGACAATTTTGGCTCTTAAAGATTTTATACTATCGCTAAATAAGTCAATAGTCTTATCTTTAAGGACACATTCGTTATACAATCTGCTTATTCTCGGTATAAGAGAGTGATGACCAAGATTAGTTTTATACAATTTGTGTTAGAGTAAGGGAATCGACAAACGCGGTACACGGCAGGGAACTTTGAACAATATTTGTGATAGTAATTCTGCAGAATCTATAGTCCCATTTGTAAGCTTGTACAAAAAACTAAATCATGTAGTTTACGTCTGTCCGATAGTGAGTTTTATTTTAGTTTTAGGAGACGAGTGGAATAGGATTCCATATGATTACCACTAGAACAATATTGAGTGAATCGTCTTTGAATGCTTTCTATACGATCTTTGTGTATTTGATAATCAGGGCTCCATATGATGGTGCCGTACTCTAATTTACTTCTAACTAAGGAAGTATAAAGAAGATTTTTTGTTTTGATTTTTTTCAAACATTTTGAATTCCTGTATAAAAGCATTTTGCGTGCCAATCTACAAATATTTTCAATGTGAATATTAAATCTTAATTTAGCATCAATTGTAATTCCTAAGTCTCGGATGGATTCAAGCTTCTGAAGTGGATTATTGTTCAACGTGTATTGGGTTTCTGATGCAGTACGCTTACGCGTAAAGTTGATATATGAACATTTAGAAGCGTTGAGATCCATGCCATTTAACTTGGTCCAACGAGCAATTCTATCGACATCTTCGTGTAGAGATTGTGCATCATGTTCGTTTAAAATTGCTTTTGCGAGTTTCAGATCGTCCGCAAAGATGAAACATTTTGAATTATGTACACAATTAGTTACATCATTTACGAAAATATTAAATAATGAGGGTCCTAATATGGATCTCTGAAGCACTCCCGAGGTGCATCCATACTTCTGAGAAAAGTAGCCTCTGATCACTACGTATGAAAATCTGTCTTTTTAATATGAATCGAACCACGAAAGTAATGGCCCTCGGATTCCGAAAGTTGATAGTTTCGCTATTAACAACTGGTGATTCACCCTGTCGAAGGCTTTGGAGAAATCGGTGTAGATAGCATCTACTTGAAAACGTGAGTCGACGTAGGGTGTTATAAAATTCAAAAAACATGAAAGGTTTGTGACAGTAGATCGAGATGTCATAAATCCGTGTTGGGTATCTGAGATAGCGTGGCGGACACGGTGTGACAATATAGGCGAGATTAAGGACTCAAATATCTTAGAGACAACTGATAATATTGATATGGGTCTGTAGTTGGCAATATTATGATTAAGATTCACTTTTTTGTACACAGGCACTATTCTTGCAAGTTTCCACATATCTGGGAAGACCCCGGTACTGCGGGATGTATTAAAGATAATACAGATAGGCAAAGACAACGCTTTAGCACACTTCTTAATAAACGATGGAGGAAAATCGTCGGGTCCAGCACCTTTCATTGCGTCCATTCTTTTTATCTTTTTTATTACTTCCTTAACATTGATGTTTATTAAGCAGATATTGTTTACGGTAACTGTTTGTAGGGGAATGTTTCTGCAGGGTAGGTTTCTCCTCTCGTATACGGAAGCAAAGGATTCAGCAAAGAGATTGCACACTCCTGGGCCGTCGGTAGCAACTTTATTGTAAAGGCTGGGTACGTGTTTGATAGTTTTTTTACGTTTTTTAAGTGTGTCCAAAAATATTTAGGATTGTTTTGTAGGTTATTTCAACGCATTCATTATAATTATTATAACTTGCTTTAATTCATTTAATACAGTTAAACCTTAGTGATTTAAATTTGAGTATATCTAGAGGGTTAATTAGTTAGTAAATTCTACTTTATAACTTTATTAGTTAGTAAATTCTACTTTTTACTCGATATTTACTTTTAATTTTTAACATATAAATTAATTTATTATTATATCATAAAGGACTTTGTACTTTTAGGCTTAGTCTTTGGCACGTATTTTCCAATTATTGATTTTAATTTATGATAAAATTCATTAAGCATTGAGTTAACTGAATCGCAGTTTAGTAATAGTTCAGACCAATTTGTACCATCTAATTCTTTATTAATGGCCTCATAATCTGCTTTAAAGAAATTGTACCTTTCATTAAGCTGTGCATTGATCGTATTAATCTTCAAGAAATCAAGCTTTAGGTTAAGTGACGGATGATAATTACCGATTATGCTGATTGGATTGAAGTTTTGACTAACTGTCACATGAGTATGATTTGAAAGAACCAAATCAAGCAACCTACCATTTGCGTTAAATATTGAATTGAATTGTTTTAAATTGTGTTCCTCGATAAAATCTACAAAACTAGACGCTAAGTTAGTACTACTAAATGGGTGTAGACAATTTAATTCCGGTACTTATATACTACCACTAGAACAACTATATATTATTATTTATTATTATTAGTATACTACTATTAAAATCCCCCGTTAGCATGACGTACTCATTTGTATTAATAGCTTTGGACACATTGCTATTCATCGGAGGTGGCAAGTATACTACGCAGATTGCAACATGACTTGGTTTACCATCTATAGTTGCATCAACCGTAATCCACAAATCTTCGCAGTTACTCTTCCAATGCAGGAAACGGCTTGATTTTAAGGTATTTTTAACGGCTATCATTACACCCCCCCATTTTTGATTCTTTTTGAGTCTAATTGCTCCCTGGCTCTCCTGTATACCGTATAGCGATCATCAATAAACTAAATATCGAAAACACCGTCATTAAGCCAAGTTTCTGTAAAAAATAAGATGTCGAAATCATACAGGTACTATTGGCACTTTAGGTAAAATCGGCATGATTTTATCCCACTTCTGACACCAATTGTTACGAGCTTGAGGTTCGTGACAATAAAAACTGCCAATTGAATTACCGAAATTAACACTTTAATTCACTGTACACTAATTAAAATTTAAAACACTAATAATTAATCACACTAATTCACTTTATTCCGCTCCGAAACTTCGCTTCTCTCGCCAAATTCAATACTTCCCCGATCGCATCTTGCAGCGCCTTTAAATACACATTATCAACGAAACATCCAGAATATTCAAGTAAATACGCGCGCCAATCGACTAGGCGTCGAAAGTTCGAGTGTCGGGCTTCTAGAAGCTTAGTTCTTCGTTTCGATACTAGATGGCGCTGTCGGTTGAAAGATTAGTGATGTCATTTTGTGGAAAGCTCCCATCGCTCTCGTCCCCGACACTAGATGGCGCCAGTTCCGGGTACATGACGTCTACTTAGGCGCGCAATAGTTTGTTAAGTTTTACATCATACGCCTTACTACGAATCCCCCTTACGTTTTGGTAATATATATTTAATGTATCGTATTTAAACAGAATTTCGATAAGAGACTAGACGGATAAGTACTTTACTATTGTAAATCTTCGAGCTGCTCGAGGTTACGCACGACAATATGCTCAGAATTATCGGTTTTTCTTAAAAGGCACGACCATTTTTAATTCATACAAATTTGTATTTTAATTTCTTTGCTGTCGCTCTGGCAAGGGCGTGGATTTTCTTCAGCTCCGGGGTCAAATGTTCTACTACAAATATAGGTTTTTTGTCGCCACCTATCCCGATGTGGCTTGTATTTATTTTTTCATTGGTGTTTCTTTTATTGAAATTTATTACTCCGAAGGTATCACGAACCCGTGGACAAGCAAACTTCACAATAATAGACCGCGTTCGTGCATTTTCTGGATTAATCTTGGCGATTCTTGTACATTTATGGATATCAGCGTCACATATTTTAGTGCCAGTAATATTCCCTATTTGCGTAATAATATTAGGTATATTTTTGGCCCTATGTTCCGGAACACATTGTATCTCCAGGTTGCTCATTCTCCAATGCTGCTCCATTATGCTTAAGCGACTATTGAGGTCTTTAAATGTTGATTTAAGGCAATCATTTTCTTCTTTTAGTTGTTTTACATCTTTAAATTTTACTTGCATATCCTTTTTTTAAATCTTCGTATTGGTTAGTAATGAAAAGAACAGATTCCTTTAGATCAGTGATTTTCACGGTTAGTCCCTTTATTTTATTTTCTATAATTTTGCTGATATTGCTTTCAATTTTGTTTATAAATGCATTCATCTCATCATGAATTATGTGCTTTATACTCTCAAGATTGAGTGATTCCTGACTTTGAGTTAAGTGCGTAGGTTGTGTGCGTCTTAATGTGATGTTACTGCTCGTGTCTCGAGGTGAGATTCCAGAGCTGCGAACAGGCGTGTCAGAATTATCACATTTTGACTGCTTTGCTCGGCAAGCAATTGTTTTTAAAATCAGTAGAAAGTTCCTTATATTTTTTGCTGCTGGTGTTTATACAATCGTAATGGTATTTAAGACTGCATGTAATACATTTAAGCTGCTCTTTCGTGATAAGTTCTTCAGAGCACACGCCACATTTTTTGTTTCTCAAGGTTTTTGTACTCATATTTGCGGAACAGGTGTGGTAAACTTAACAAAAAGTTAATAGGGTGACTTGCTATAGCTTATTTAACAGGCGCTTACATGCAATTGAATGTGATGTGACGTAGATGCGGGGCGATCGCGGGTTGCCCTAGGTCAGGGAGTTTTTGATTTACCGATGTTTTGTAAATACAAAATGCGATTACTCACGAACCCCTGCACCGATTTCGACGATCCAAACACTTATCACTTCTTTATAATGAGGACTATATTATGTACCAAAATTGTCAAATTACGTAAAGTTTAACTATACATTTAGATTAAAATGTCACAGATCAGCTGATAGACACTGTTATCGTACAACGCGCGGGTAGTAAAGAGGATCTATAGCCATTTGGACGTTGTCGATTATTAGTCGGTCTGTTTCGCGATTACCGCTATGGGATCTATAGAGGCATCTGTAGACGCGTGGATGGTTGCCGCTGTCTACGCGTAGCTAAAGGATAACAGGTAAGAATCTTCAAGACTGCTAGTACGTAGAGAACAGATGTCCTCTCTGACATATACGCAAACTCCAGCTGGAGGCACAAAGGAGTGTTCCAATTTGTACTCCGGGTAGGAGAGATACGAAGTAGTAGCCGGAGAGGACACCTGCGTCTTGGTAAGAAAGAGCAAGGCCGGCGTCACCGTCTCGAGATAGTACTAGTAGTGGACGGTAATTACGTTCTAGTGAAGTCCGATGATATTGCAGAAATTCACGGACAGAGTGGCAGGGGTCGCCTTGGTGTTATTGCTAGCTAGCCCCGAGCAGCTCTTGTCTTGAGCGGAATGTCCCCTAGAATATGGGGGGCAGCCTGAACACCCACGCTCAGGTGTGAAACAGCTTGGTCGTGGATACTCGGCGAAGGATTCGCCAGGGGTACTACCCTCCTGGGGTAGTCTTACCTTTAATTCCATTATCATATTGATGGGGATAAGTACAAACTGTGATGCATTCCAATTTAGACCTTTGGAGTGACAACACATTCTTTGTATGAAGTTAGCAGCAGGTATTCATGAACTGCAAATCAGATGGACTGTAACTTACAAAGCTTAAAATTTCGGTATACATTTTGGTATATTTCACATGTTTTAGTCAGCAATTGATTAAAAGCATTGCTTTGGCAAATCGATTTTTTTAAATTTATTACACAAAGGTGGTCATTTTTAAATTTATAAACAATTATTTAATTTGAGAATACTGGGCTATTATTTACATTTATATCGATGATAGATGTCTATGGTCCATAGCATCCACTTCATCAGGCACACTATATGGAAGTTGGCCACTCTTATTTTACGAAGAAACACCTATGCTGTTATTCAATGATGATGATAAGTGGAGATAAATAAAATATTTAACTAAGGAAAGTAGAGCAAATTATATTTTTAATTAAAATAGAAAATGATTAAAGAAGACTATGAATTAAAAGCTAAAGTCGTACATGTTTTTTTTTTAATAAACGGGATCTGTCGACACTCGACAGCTCTGGATAACGTAATTTGATTTCCTTCGTTAGCTAGCTCGAAGTACTCCCGCTTCAATAGTCAACATTCTCTTTGAAAGGTTGAGGCTAAATTTAATTCTCAATTGTAGAACCGTATGACTTTCTTATAGCATAGTTATTTTATGATGTTTTTATCGAAAGTAAATTTTACTGTAAAAATATTTAAATTGTATTAGTTTTCCATCCATCGAGCTTTAAAAGAGGTTTTTTTGAATAAGGTACTAGAAAGCATACCACAAACATAGATTGAAAAATTCTGCAGCATTTAAAAATATTTATCTTGATGATGATATTGTCAAATTGATGATTATCAAACTACTTCTACACAAAAAGGGTTTAGGAACAAAAAGAACTAGTAAGCAAAAATTACAAACTTGTACATTTTTATCCTTAAAGAATTAAAGATTGTATATAGGTGGTTGGTTTAACTTTTCTTGCCGTAATGGCCACCCAAATGTTAGATTCATAAAAATTGCAATTGTTATCAACAAAAAACTAAAATAAGGGCGCCAGATTTTTAGGAATAACTCGACAAATATATTAAGGAATAATGAAAACCACAAAAAAGATACTTATAGAGGATAATTACAATAAAATATAAATAATAATTACAAAAAACTCCCGATTCCCGGAACTCTTCCTCCATTTACCTAATTTCTTTTTTTACTATAACCATAAAAGGAAAAATGGAAGTATTTTATTTATTTAAGTTTAACTTTTACTGTGTGGTGGCGATGTATGAACATCCACTAAAACCATATCACCCCGTGCGTGTAAGCAACGTTGGAAGGTAGGCAGCAACGTCTTCCTAATATTACCTAGAAATTTAAAAAAAAATTGTCACAAACCCGTCTTTCTAGAGTGGCAACTGCGGCCAATATCCCAACATATATATATATATATATATATATATATATATATATATATATATATATATATATATAACAGTATTACTGTAATGTTCGTTGGGCGGAAATATACAAAATTTACTATTGCAGATGAAGTTAGCTATACAAATATTATACGTCATATATTTTTTGTCGTAGAATATGCGTAGATAACTTTACAAGATCACCAATGATTTACCTAAAATTACCCATTACATAGTATTATATTTATATGATAATCAATTGTTGTCCGTCAGTCTCGCTTAAACTCGAAAGTAGGATCAACCGTATGATTCTATATTCATATAAGCGAAGAAATCCAGATACGTTATTATAATGGTATGTTATATTAAATTATTTATTTTATGTATGACTCATTGGTAATGGGTCACTTATAACCTCGGTGTCTATATATATCTACTTATTTTGATGGCACGAAACATGAATCTAATACGGCACAGCATGCATATGACAGATTTTCTTATATGATAATCTACTGAATTTAACTGTTTAAATTTTAACTTGTAATAAATAGTAAAAGCTGACTTCAAAGAATTACAAAAATAAACAAGTTGGTGCTTAGGAAAAGTATATAGAAGAATTAAAATTACGACTTCAGAAGCTGTTTTGTGAAATTTTTTTTTAGTTTTTCATGTCGGCTTTTAATTCCATTTAAAAATAAGTTTTTTATCCTTAAGAGCGGATTTCTTATCAGCTTAAGGAAACAACTATAATGTCGTCTAAGTAGCAACATTAAAAACTTATATTTTCCACCCTTAGGGGTGGAATTTTGCCGTCAAATTTTTATCGACTATTACTGTACTGGGTTAACATTTATAATTTTATTATTGAAATCAGTTTAAAATTGAAAAAGATATCACTTAACAAACATACACTAAAGAACGTACAATCGCATTGAGAACCTCATCCTCTTATGAAGACGCCAAACAATTAAATAAATAAGAATGTCCGCAGAGTTTCTTTCACTGTTACTACTTTGGCCAAAGGAAACTCATTTTGAAACGGTATGAGGGGAGTATACTTAAAAAGTGACGTTTGATAATTTTAAACATCTTACGCTGAAAAAAATAAAGATAAGGTTTTTTTTTTATTTCATTACATCATTATTGTGTTTTTCTTTCAATGTAGTATCATATAAACGTTTACCAAAACTTTTGAAAATATTTGTGTATGGAAAGTTTTGGGGACTATAAAACATATAATGTCTTATATAGGAACGTCTACCGTGATCAAATAAAGTGTTAATCAGGCTTTGCACTTTTATTTAGTTTTCAAATGGAAGTTGTATGTAGAGTACCGTATGAGCATTGCCCTGGGTTATTACGAATACTTTGTTTATTTATAACGACTCAGAAAAAAACGATATTAAAACTAAATTTTCCATTAATTCACAGGGGAATTACGGTATCGCTTATAATTGCTTAGTTCCTTGTCAACACGACTCGTGTGATAAAAGAATTTATATATGTATTAGTGATCCACCCCGGTTTCGCAGGGGTCATTTCTGGATCTCGATAACAGCCTCACCTACCGGGTCTAATTGTGAATCTAAGCCATTCTTAAATCAACAAAACTGACCACAAAATTTCATCAAAATCGGTCCATCCGTTTAGGAGGAGTTCCGTCACACACACGGACAGAATAATTTTATATATTTTACTATCGACGATTTGGAGATTGAGCTTTGCTATGAAAGTGCATAGGCTTTGCTGCATGCTGCATTACATATATTTACATTCAGTAAACTAATATCACAGCTTCCATACGTAGCAAAACTAGAGGCCCTGAGTTAACTCGACAAAGGTCGATTGAGCTAGGGCCCACAGTAGCCCAGTTCGACGAGTAACAGAGGGGAGGATCTAGTGACCTATGGATAATTAAATTATAACAGTTCGATACGCAAACACAAAACTTACCGAATTTCAGAAGTGTAAGGTCTACCACAAGGTGGCGTCAGGGGCAAGTAAATGGTAGTTGTGTGTAGTGTAGGAAAGTGTAGTGTAGTGTAGGAAAGTGTATAGTGTAACCTGATGTCACCAATACAATCAGATGGTGCTTTCGGAAGCAATACGGGTATTATCCTCA